TGGATCCTACTTTCATATAAACAATCACCTTATATAAGTCGTATAATCGTTTGGACAGCGAAATTATTTTGCATTGAATTCCAGTAATAATTGATTCTGACATTGATGTTCGCATAAGACTTTTCTGAAGTGATTTCCTTAACTGTATAACATTGTTAGTAAACTATTAAACGAAATTTCAATATTATTGATGCAAAATTACTCAATTATTTACATATAGCTATAGAACATGAAGAAGTTATCGAAAAGAATATTCTTTGTTCATTCAAATGAGTTTTTAAGGATTAAAAAAAATCTCCTATTATAACGATTTGATTATATTCACTAATGCATATCTTCCACCAGTCAGAAGATCATTCTCAAACATGTTTGGAAATAAGTGAATTTGAATAATTAGCTTTCAAGGTTAAAGGATATTGTTTTGAGATTTGTAGGAAATAATGTATTTCTTAAGATAACACTTCAGGATTATATTAATTTCCCTTCAACTACTTGTAGGCATTATGATGTACCTTCCGTTTTTTGTTTTTATTCATTAAAATTTGAATACAGTATAAGCATAGTATACCTTTAAGAAACTCAATCTTGATTCCTCGGCGAATGTTTCGTACATAATTTGTTTTCATTGACCCTAACTTTTAAAGGTTTATAACTTTCTCCAACATAATAAGCCTCATATTCCAAACATTTAATTTTGTAGATACAGTCGTTCTATGCCATTTTATGAATTGTACCTTTTATGTTGACTAAGGTCGTTCTTAATGGATTTGAAGGTTTAAAACAGACTTTAATACCATGCGGAGCAAACACTCTTTTAATCTGTTCAGAAGTACTGTTCTGATATGGTATCATCATAGATGACACTCATATTTTGTTGTACATTTACTATTATTATTAGCAGTACTTGCTGTCTTATTAGTTTGATCGATAATGTTGTTCAAGAACTTTGAGGGTAACCATTTTCCCGAATGTCATACATTTAGTTTCCTCGACAAATTTGAACAGTGCAAGAACAAAGACATTTCATGCCCTTTCATCAGCTGTAAACAGCCTACAATTGAAATGAAGTATTAGTAGTGATAATGCCGTGACATACTTCAAGTATGTAGAAATAAATGGAGATTTGAAATCCTGGATTAACAATAAGGTAGCGAGTGAGTCAAAGAAACACAGGGTTAATACTTACAAACCTCAGTCGAAATGAATTGCAGTTTATATGTGATGAGATAAAAAATTCTGGAGCTGTGGAGTTGTGAGTGGGGAAGACAACAGATGAAAATCAGTGTAAAAGACGGAGTTGTTAAAGAGCTAGTAGGTTGCGTGATTACATGAAAACCTGGAAAATCGTTAGGCGTGTAATTAGTGAAGATATGATGCAATCAAAAGAAAAGGGAAGATTATATACACCTGCAAATTATATCTATATATATAGGTGATTAACAGTCAGTAAGTAATTAATGAGATGATGCCATATATATATATATATATAGCATCATCTCATTAATTACTTGCTGACGGTTTTCCAGTTTTCAACATAATTACGCAACCTACTGGCTCTTTAACAACTCCGTCTTTTACACTGATTTTCATCTGTTGTCTTCCCCACTCACAACTCCACAGCTCCAGAATTTTTTATCTCATCACATATAAACTGCAATTCATTTCGACTGAGGTTTGTAAGTATTAACCCTGTGTTTCTTTGACTCACTCGCTACCTTATTGTTAATCCAGGATTTCAAATCTCCATTTATTTCTACATACTTGAAGTATGTCACGGCATTATCACTACTAATACTTCATTTCAATTGTAGGCTGTTTACAGCTGACGAAAGGCTATGAAATAAAATAAGCTCATTTTATTCTGCAAACGTCTTTGTTCTTGCATTGTTTAAATATCCATTTTCTAATAATGAAGAATATTTGTAGCTCAGGTGAATGGTCTTGGTTGTATTGTGTTCTCTCAGCTGGGCTGTTTAATCGTGAAGCTTTCATCGTCTTGCTAGACACCAACATCATCAGCACTAACTTCACTGTGAAGTGAGCTGTCAGTATCTCTCCATGAGTGATTTAGTAGCTTGCTCTGACGAAGTGATTTGTGACTGGTAATTTCCTTTGATTGATGTGTCACTGATGTGTCATTGACTGCCTAGATTTTCTTCTCGACTGTTCCTCTTCTTGTCCTCTGACCTTTCTGTCGTCTATCATCTCTCTCATTGGTTGATAGATTGGGTCTATGTCTATACATCTGTTGATTGCTGACTGATTGACCTGAATGTGAAGCTTCTAGGAATTCCGTGATATTTTTTGTTTCCTCTTTCCGTCGAAAATGTCTACATTGTCGAAATTGAATTTATGTCGTCTAGCAAGATGATGAAAGCTTCAGGATTAAACAACCCAGCTCATAGAACACAATATAACCAAGATCCATTTTCTATTAAAACATGTTTAATTCTGGATATTTCATTTTTCAAATCACTAGGATCTGTTATTATGTTTTTCGTTCTGTTTAGTAAGTTCATTGGGATACCAACTTTTGTGTTAGTTGGATGATCCGATTGGAAGTCTAAATATTTATCAGGATCTATTGGTTTTCTGTATATTTTTATGCCAAATTTGCCTTCACTCATTCTGTGGATAAGTTAATTTTAGAGTCTCATTATTATTTATCCCTTGGGTCCTAGTGGAACATAAGGCTTCAGTAGCACTTCTCCAGTGAACTCTGTTCTCTGAAATTTTTTGAACCTGGTCCCATGACTGCCCACAAGCTCTCATTTCTTCCTCGCACTGTCTCCTCGCCTTGGACGCCCAACTCGTCGCTTCCCATAGGAGTTCCACTCGACAGCCTGATGCGTGATGTCCCCAGTCGGCCTTCTCATTTAGAGTCTCATACTTGGTTTCTATCTAACTAGTGGATTTAATGGAGTCTGAAATAAAGTTTACTTATTCTGAGAATGTCTGTTGGTTTAGTTTCTTGTCAATGGTAAACGTATCATCCACATATCTATCCCGAATTCTGGGTTGGCATTATTGCTCTCTCTTCTAGAGATTTCATAAAGAGATTCGCCATAATCTGAGATCCTGATGAACTCATTGCAACGATAACTGGTACCTGTTGCACAAGAGGTGGTCATTGTGCCCTAGTGGCCTAGGGGATAGTGTTTAAGTGTTTGAAGGGATAGGCACTGGTTTTGAGTCTCAGTAGAAACAACATCATTCACTGGGGTGCAATTACATCCAGTTGATGAAACACGCCTCCTTAATTCCGCTGCTAGTCATCAAGATGAATATAACATCATCAATGTCTGGTAGTATCGAATCATCTGCATAGGAGCCCATCTACCTGTAGAGTTTGAGCAATTCGACTCTGTATAACAACCGGAAATGACAAGTATCAAAATAACCACTCAACTCTGGCTAACGGTATACTCTGTCTCTAAGCATGAACTATGCAAATTGTAAACGCAGCTTCAACGATTTTATAGTGTCTCCTGTAGAAAGCGGACATTCAAATACTACATCTTGGCTGTTAATAATTTCAGTTCTTAAAATATGAAATTGGTATACTGATGAGAAGAGAAATTATACCAAAACTTGTCATAACTTCATATTCTCCTATGGTCATATTCAGCAGTTTATTTCTGAAATCCTGAGCAGTTTTAACATTTGAGGAGATATCATATTGGAGTGGTTTCAGAAATTTTAATAAATATTTAGGTAGACCTTATCGAATTTCTAAAGTCAGTAATTGGTCTGACCGGAATCTTGTGATTTTCTAAACACCTTGAGATTACATTAAAATATATTCTTATAATGATTAAATAACCACTACCATCAACAGCAAGCTCAAATCACCATCAACAGGAGAAACTTAAACGAAGTAGTCTCTTTCACCTATCTAGGCAGGCAGCACTGTTTCAACTACAGGTCGTGGTGGCACAGACGACGATGTCAAAGCCAGTCAGGATCAGAAAGACAGTAACACAGGCCTTCATCAACCTGAAATCAGTGTGGAGATCTACTGCACTGCACTGCACTGCACTGCACTCAACCAGCACAAAGCGTGAACAACATCCAGATTCTCAACACCAACGTCAAGTCAAGTCAAGTCAGTGCTTCTGTGTGATGGTTGAGAGACTTGGTGTGTTACGAAAGGGATTTGCAAGAAACTACAGATATTCATCAACAACTGCCACCTACGCTGACTCGATACTGACACTGAAGCTGAGATGGCGAGAATAATAAGAATGAGCAAGGAGGAATTGTGTCTGGTTGGCTGGCTGGCTGGTGACGAAGCAACCAAGAAGCTATCGCTGAACATATTTGTATGCATTGGAAGTAGGTGTAGATGGATTGGATTGTGCATGCAGTGAGAAGGTCGATTGTGGACATCACGTGCCCGCCAGACCAGGCCTCTCCGTCGAGTGGGATCGAGATGGGAAATGACGAGTGTGGCGTTTGAGGTGATGGTGACATGGATGAGATGGTGTGTGGAAGAAATGAGAGGTTGTGGGGAGTGGTGGAGTGGTGGAGTCAGGTTTTGAATATTGCAGAGGAGAGAGTGTAATGGAGACTTGTTACTGAATCGGTATGTTCTATTAGGAACCCAAGGGACAAATATATGTATATATAATGATTAAATGAGACCTGATGCTCACCGTTTTCCGGGACACTTCGAGTAAGTCTGATCTGGGTGTTCATAATCCTATAACAGTATGTTTTAGTGAAATATCAGGAATCAGATGAAAGCGTCAATCACTTAATCAGTTTTTTGAAGGAGCATAAAGACTTCCAACTCACCTTTCATCAGAAAAATAAGCTCATTGCTTCAGTACTGTAAACTACTAAGTAGCATGACATCATTTATCTGAGTTGTAATCTGTGAAGAAAGAAGTTGTCTATATGAAAGGATAAGTGGCCTTTTTTAGATCATGCAAAATAATTATATAATGAACTACTTTGAAATTATGTTTCGGTCTATGCTTTTCTCATCAAACACTTACTGCGTTTATTCCGACCATAGCATGTATAAAATATAATTGTTGTGATGAGAAATACAATCACTAGAACACATCCACCACTGACAGCCAATGCCAGTAAAGATTTACTGAATACACTTCGTTCTTTAGCTATTTCTACAATTCAAAAATATTTAACAAAAAAAAAACAGATTAAAGATAGTGGTCTTAAATTCAGTGTATTGAAGAACATTCATTGGGAGACTAAGGGTAGGAGTACCTTTAATAAAAGCTAATAAACTTGAAAATTTTAGTTACTATAGGTTCTTTATTTGCTTATTTATTCAAAAAAGTAGGATTACTCAAAAGGTTTAACCTTCTCAAGTTAGCTGTCATTACCAGTTGATATGAGAACTACCTTGAAATTCATAAATCTACACAAATCTTCATTTCAGTTTGATCTATCAAAGGAAGATGTTGCTGAAATAAAGTGGTTAATTGCTTTCTTGTCATTGACTTCTCATACAAAACTATGACCTAAATTTCGTATCATCTTTTAATTGTTTTATAACCAGTACTTCACCTTATGGTTGATTTCACGTAAGCGAGCTTTTTGTGTTAAAGGAGTGAATTTCAATATAAAATCTACATCTACATCTATTTTGGGTTCAGATAACTTTTAGTGATTACAGAGAAGATAAAGAATTGAATTTTGAAGGAGTGGTGGGGATTTGGAAATATTTCACGTTGTTATTCATAGTAGACTGACATCAGTTAGAAGAACAAAGGAAACCTGGAGCACTGGACAACTGTTTCGTCCGACTAGTGTGGGACTCCTTAGCAGTGCCCACCCACGACCCCGCTCTCCAGGGATCGAACCCACGGCCTTCAAGTTTCGTGGCCAACACGTTACCATTGAGCCACTGAGTCACAATCCAGTGCTCCATGTTTCCAACTTCTGTTAGCTCACGATATAGCGCAACCGCCATCCACTGCCATTGTTGAGTGACTGCCCTCACAACCACCAGGCTTTTCCCCCCACCAGTCATAACTTCTCATTGAAACTTCGGGAACACCTCTCGAAGCTAGTCACCAATCAGCACCAGTCTACGATGAATAATAACTTGAAATATTTCCAAATCCCCACAACTCCCTCAAAATTCAATTGAACTGGTGCTGATTGGTGACTAGCTTTGAGAGGTATTCGAGAAGTTCCAATGAGAAGTCGTGACTGGTGGGGGCAAAGCCTGATATTCGTGAGGACAGTTACTCAACAATGACATTGGGTAGAGGTTGCGCTATATCGTGAGCTAACAGAAGTTGGAAATATGGAGCGCTGGATTGTGACTCAGTGGCTCAATGGTAACGTGTTGGCCACGGGACTTGAAGGTCGTGGGTTCGACCCCTGGATGGGTCGTGGGTGCGCATTGCTGAGGAGTCCCATACTGGTCGGATGAAACAGTTTCCCAGTGCTCCCGGATTTCCTTTATTCCTCTAACTGGTGTCAGTCTACTATGAATAACAACATGAAAGATAAAGAATGTAAGTTTTCTAGATTATGCTGATGAAGCTTTTGTTCAGGTTATTTGCAGCTAACTAGCTGGGACTAACTGGGCTTTCCTTGTGATATCTACTTGAATATCTATCTGTGGATTGATATTACGACGGAACTGGGATTTTTGTATTTGGAAATAATAGGGTCTGTCAAAATAATCTAAATCAGACTAAATGATTTTAGTTAATTTCCATAGATTCTGTAAATTACAGTGAAACATAACCTCTGAAAACTATTTTGGGTTGTTACTTAACTCATGGTTAGCAAGAGCTAGTAGCTTTGAGAGAATATAAATAACAAGTCGTATCGAACTTCAACTTTCCTACACGTAACTATCGTCATTGAACAATTCAATCGGGTAGCTTGGCCTAACGACATAGAACCATGGGTCACTGTGGTCTTACTGTTTAGACATTTTTTTCCAAAAGGTATTTGATTGGACAGCGGAAACAGCTGTTGGCTTTAAAGATTAGCGAATATTTTGTAGCTTTAATCATTACTGAATAAACTTAAATTTCCAAATTTAATATTTTTCTGTCGGTAAATATCCTTGATACTATATTCTTCCTAATAAACAATATTCGTATAATAAGAAATATAACTTACCCGGTTGCCATAATATAGGTGACGTTTCTTGTAAAAGTTTAGCGCCTTGAAACAGAAGGAATCTAAAATTGTACAACTGAATGGCATCTGATAAGTGAACCTCCATTTTTCCTAACCAAGGTTTTGCAACATTGTAATCTTCGCAGCCAACAGTTCGAGAGTTGACCATAAACTGTGTATTTTCCAACCGATTCAATATATCATCTTGTCTTGTAGTATTTTCTATGTTGACTGCCCTTTTTATTACTTTTTGGTATTGAGTATCATGTCGTAAATGTCGCTTACTCATGGGTAATCTATCCGGCTGTAAGTGACTAGGTATGAAAGCATCACGGCGACAGACACGAAGGATAAGTCTAGTGAAGGAAGATTTCATTGGAGGACTGAATAAAATGCTTGTAGTTGATCCATGATGAATAATTTCTATGGAGTCTTCCGCAATAATTCCAACTCCTATGATGATAAATAGATAAAATATAAACCAAGCTAAATATTTGAGGTTTCTGACTCCATTTGGACACACTATGAAATCCCGCGTCTTTATCAAACTCTTATCTTTAAAACCTTACCAAATTAGGAACCACTTAAGTTTTTATTTACACGAACAATGAGCTACTAAACGGTATTAATAAACTTTGCTTGTGTTGTTTAGCAGATTCACTTCAGAGATTGCTTCAAAAACAATTCATTCATTTAGGATCTGGCAAAGTTGTAAAATAATTATACTTATAATGTTTTATAATAATGGAATCAAGCTAAGTAGCTTGAGTTGGGGAGGTTAAGTAGAGTGGAAAACATACGAGTGAAATTGTGGTGATCGTTCATTGAGTCTTCAGACGAAATCAGTAGGCGAATAACGCTGTAACTTCATGGTATTAGTAAGTTTCCTTCAGTACTCATCATGTGCTATCATTTATCTCAGAGTGAATGTCTCTATTTTCTTATGATAAATTAACGAGTGGTTATTGAACTGGTAAATACATATCACACCCTTCACTGAACTTTCTATAGTGTATCAAGACGCATTTAATTCAGTGGACTGTAGTAGTGGAAAAAAGCTGAATGACTACTAATCTACTCAAAGAAAGTATATACCAAACCATCCTTTCTATAACATTGTTTTCAAAGAAGTGAATTCGGCTTAAATTAGTAGTAAACGTTAGGAACAATAATAGTCACTATTTGAGCAAAGTATCTTGTAGTTAGAACAATAATCAGATAAATAAGATATACAAAAAGCCTACAGATATAACCAATAATAGTGTTGTGAATATAAAGATGCTTTGATTAACTTTAAAGTAGAAAAGTGATGCTGAAAACTAACTTCTCCAGCTATGTGGATATTAAGGAAATTTTGTGTTTTCTTAACGGAAACTAAGAATTTATTTCATGAATAGCTGATAAACATGCTATACTCACTTGAATCCATTCAGATCGACTTGAAAGCATTTCAAAAGCTATTTCAGTCATACCATCAAGTGAAACAGTAAATTGTAATAAAATGTGTTTAATTATTATTAACGATTTATCTTTGTTTAGCTAGAATAAAACTGTACTTAAGAATGTATGTTTGAATTTAGTTTTGAGTATGACTAGAGTGCCTTGTTCTGTAGGTACAAAACCAATGATATAAGGAAGCTTAATTTTTGGAAAGGAACATCTTTACTACGTCAAAGCCAGGATCTGAAAAGCAAGACAGGCGTTCATCAACCTGAAATCAGTGTGGAGATCTACTGCACTGCACTGCACTGCACCCAACCAGCACAAAGCGTGAACAACATCCAGATTCTCAACACCAACGTCAAGTCAAGTCAAGTCAGTGCTTCTGTGTGATGGTTGAGAGACTTGGTGTGTTACGAAAGGGATTTGCAAGAAACTACAGACATTCATCAACAACTGCCACCTACGCTGACTCGATAGTGACACTGAAGCTGAGATGGCGAGAATAATAAGAATGAGCAAGGAGGAAGTGTGTCTGGTTGGCTGGCTGGTTGGTTGGTTGGTTGGTTGGTTGGCAGGTGACGAAGCAACCAAGAAGCTATCGCTGAACATATTTGTATGCATTGGAAGTAAGTGTAGATGGATTGGATTGGATTGTGCATGCAGTGAGAAGGCCGATTGTGGACATCACGTGCCCGCCAGACCAGGCCTCTCCCTCGAGTGGAACCTGTATGCGAAACGACGAGTTGGGTGTTTGAGGTGAGGGTGACATGGATGAGATGGTGTGTGGAAGAAATGAGAGGTTGTGGGGAGTGGTGGAGTGGTGGAGTCAGGTTTTGAATATTGCAGAGGAGAGAGTGTAATGGAGACTTTCTACTGAAGCTATATGTTCTATTAGGAACCCAAGGGACAAATGAAATTCAAAAAACAACATCTTTACTAGTTTCTGAATTAAATCCAAATACTTGCAACACTTTGAGAGATATTCAAGTTATATTTTCGTGGTATAGTATGAATATCAAGGTGTATGTGTCGAACGTTTTGCAGTAAGTGCTTAATTTCTTCTTACTTACTTATTCAGGAGTGAGATTTGTATTTGACTTCTCTAAAGTGGAAATATGTAATTCTAAGTTATTATAATTTGTTGCTACATGTAGTTCTCCACTAGATTCTACTGCTAGCCTCAACCAAGTCACTTATAACAATAATACCCAGACATCCTTATAAGAACCTATATACCAACAGACGTTGATCAGTCCGATCCAGTATAACAACGGAGAATCACGAGTATCAAGAAATAATAATAAATAATACTCTTTGTACAAGTGGTGTCTCTAGTACCTCAGTGGCCTATCCGATAACACTTTGGCGTGCGAAGCGATGGGTATGAGGTTCGAGTCTCAGTAGGAACAACACTCATTCTGGTGCAGGTACACCCAACTGACGAGTCCCAAATAGGACGAAACGTACGTCCTGAATTTCTTCTTTAGCCGCAACCAAGTCTCTATAACTATAAGACTGTAGATTTGTCATGGTTCAAAACAAGTTAGTATTCAAAATTTAGGTAGGGAAAATTACAGGATGACAAGTAGAAATAGGTATAACTAAAATTACACGGAAAAAAGAAACGACCAAGAATGTAAACAAACGTCAGTAGCATGGAAAACCTTACCTGACTTCTTTATTAGGTGAAACATAAAGTCTTTCACACCTAACTGATGGCGAACTTGACAGATATATGTTCCGAAGTCATCAGATTTAACTTCTGAAAACCTGAGTAAGAAAGTGAGATTACCACTGAGACCAGTACCACGTGAAGCAAAAATATTTTTTCGTTGTCCAGCCTTTTGTCCAATAGACTGACGTGCAGTAATATCTGGTTTCAATGATGAAGATGGAAAACGATTATATGTTGTTCTTTTAACCCGTGGCCATGAATCATAAGAGTTTGGATAATCATAATCTAGATATTGTGATTCAAAGTAAGCTTGTGATTCAACATATTGTTGAGGGTTGCGGATTTGTCCAAGTTCATTATTATACGTATCTATCTGAAACCATTCAGCTTCCGCCCATGGTGGATTAGCATCTACATACAGTGCTAATGTCACAGATTCACCTACTTGAGCCATCACTTGTGTCTGAGTACGTCTGTTCATGATAGGCTGATCTAAAATAGTAAATTACACAAATTCATATTCCTCTTTTAAACGAATATAAATGTTTATCGCATATTTATATAATAACAAGGAGTGATAACAATCATTCAAAGGTATAATTTCAACTTTTGACCTAATTCGTTATATTTTCTATCGAATGTATAGCTTGTTCAAAAGATTAAATGAAACTGTAGGTTTAGAAAGACTATAAACGAACAGAAATACTGGGCGGTATGTACTAAAATGATTCTGTTAAACAGGAAAGTACAAAATACACATTAAAGGTTAATAATTTTCAATTTAGAAAGAGTAAATAATCTAAATGAATACAGTCAAACAGTGTATAGGAAGAAACAGATATGCTCAAGGGAAAACATTACTGTGAATACATTTTGTGATTTATAAATAAAGATTTAATAAGAATGAAGTAACTCTGCGACTAGTATTGTTTGAAGTAGTTTATAATTGATCAGCGATAACCCAATAGCCAGTATGTTGTTGTTCAGAATTGCATATCTTCTGCACTGCACTGCACTCAGCCAGCACAAAGCGTGAACAACATCCAGATTCTCAACACCAACGTCAAGTCAAGTCAAGTCAGTGCTTCTGTGTGATGGTTGAGAGACTTGGCGTGTTACGAAAGGGATTTGCAAGAAACTACAGATATTCATCAACAACTGCCACCTACGCCGACTCGATACTGACACTGAAGCTGAGATGGCGAGAATAATAAGAATGAGCAAGGAGGAATTGTGTCTGGTTGGCTGGCTGGCTGGTGACGAAGCAACCAAGAAGCTATCGCTGAACATATTTGTATGCATTGGAAGTAGGTGTAGATGGATTGGATTGTGCATGCAGTGAGAAGGTCGATTGTGGACATCACGTGCCCGCCAGACCAGGCCTCTCCGTCGAGTGGGATCGAGATGGGAAATGACGAGTGTGGCGTTTGAGGTGATGGTGACATGGATGAGATGGTGTGTGGAAGAAATGAGAGGTTGTGGGGAGTGGTGGAGTGGTGGAGTCAGGTTTTGAATATTGCAGAGGAGAGCGTGTAATTGAGACTTTCTACTGAATAGGTATGTTCCATTAGGAACTCTAGTGATAAATAATAATAATTTGAGTTTATTAAACGTTATTTTTTCTTTGTTAGATTCACAACTGAAAAATGCTTTGAATAATATTCAAAGAAGCGAAAATAAACATGCTAACAACAGAAACTTCACAGTTTACTTACCTGTGGCCAATAGTAGAATCCAGGACGAGGATTTGGTCCTATTTAAGACTCTTCAGCTGAATATACGTACACTCTAGTGAGTAATTCTATTTCCACTGGGACTCGAACCTCGTACTCACAGCTGCAAACACCAAAGCCTTATACAGTATGCTGGATAGCCTACTGCGGCATGATAGCCACCTCTAGTTATTACTGTTTGTTGATATGCTTGTAATTCTCTTTTGTTACATGAAAACAGAGGTCGAACCATTCAATCCAGAGTAGAAACGGAGAATTACAAGTATATCAACAAATAGTCATAAAGGGCTTCATCAGATAACATAGATTTTTACTATTTACTTTGAACTATTTTATCCGGAAAGTGTATAGAATCGATGTTGCTAAACTGTTCACTGTTTTATTCTGTACAAAGGTTCACTTTACTGAATAAACTTAGAATGAACCGGGTGAACAACTATGCTTTCGCTTTGTGTGTGAACAATGACTTCTAATGTCATATCAAGTTTTTACGAGATTAATAGTGGTAATGTTAGTTGAAAACAGAAAATTCATGGAACAATTGATAATATTTCATAGTGTCTTCCTTTAAAATCAATTCTCAAAGGAATGAAAAATGATAATTGGTTAGATTTATAAAACATCAAGACTGTGAGTCTCAAGTTGATATTCATCGTAGACTGACATCATTTAGAGGAGCAAAGGAAACCTGGGAGCACTGGACAGCTGTTTCGTCCTAGTATGGAAATATGGACCGTTGGATTCTGGCCCAGTGGCTCAGTGGTAACGTGTTAGCCATGAAACTTGAAGGTCATGGGTTCGAGCCCTGGCGGGGTCGTGGGTGCGCGTTGCTGAGGAGTCCCATACTAGTCGGATGAAACAGCTGTCTAATGTCCCCAGGTTTCCTTTGTTCCTCCAAATGGTGTCAGTCTACTATGAATAACAATGTGAAATATTTCCAAATCCCCACAACTCCCTCAAGACTATGAGTAATGATATCACAGTTATAAGTGATAATGGAATAAAATATCAATTTATACATATTATAGACTTCAGGATCCAAACTTGACCTGATATAGTTGGTTAATTTGAGCACTAGGTAAATAGATTATAGCTGAAATAATTTTTTAAAATCCCGATGAAATAGACAATTTGATTTCTGACCTTTCACGACCTCGTGATAGTCACTTCTTCACAGAATAAAATCTGTACAAGTTACCGCATGTCTAAACAATAAACGGCGACAAATCAGATCACGCTGTTCATACATGATAAGAATAATATGAGAATAAATGTAGCAGTTATCAGTTATTGGTCTGAGAGTGGATGTTAATGTAAGTACACGTGAATTGGTGTGAAAATTGTCGAAAACACTATGCATGGAGCATTTAGTTTGTTTGTGTGTATGTACTTTAGTCATGACTATTATGTGTACCATGTTACTTTGATATACTATTCAAGTTGTTTGGATAGTTAGATCTTCCTTTCTGCTGAGTGCATAAGATTCAACATAAGGTGAAATAGTTCAGTTATCCATCTTTCCCTGTAGTTAAAAAACACCAAATTTGAGCCTTCTACAAGACAAACAACACTCAGAAATGCTTTAGTTCACTTAGAATTCCTTTTACCTACACACAAAATTGTCCCTACAGAGTAGGCTGTGTTGGTTTTGACGCTTATTATATTCGGGAATCATCCCGAAAAATCCTCATTCCTGCCAAAGAACATACAAGTTATACTAAACGACCTCTGAATAATCCTATACAGCCGGAGAATTCGCAAACTAAATCGGCAAAGTGGCTGCCTTTCTTTCGTGGCATAGTGGATAACACCTTGACTTTTGGAGCGATGCGTATGAGGTTCGAGTCTCAGTGGGGAAAACATCACTGGGGTGCAAGTACCTCCGCCTGACGTGTCCCAAACAGAACGAAACGCGCGTCCTTGGTTCTTCTGTAAAGCCACAACCAACCAAGTTGTCATAAATCGGCAATTGCTGTTCATGTCGTCTATCATGGTCATGAGATTCACACTGTGAATATTAAAAATATCCGGAAAGGCTTTTCAAACTGCAGGGAAAGATGCATAACTGAACTATTTCACATTATGTATAGTAATGATGGGCAGTGAAATTCAGCATGCACATTTCGTCCTATTTCGGACTCGTCAGCTGGACGTACCTGCCTCTCTGTGAAAGATGTTGTTCCTACCGGGATCCGAACTCAGGACCGACCGCTTCGACCACCAGCGCGTTATCCACTACACCACCGAGCCACGACAGAGCATATGCCAATAGAGACCGATCAATTCGGTCCAATCAACAAGCAATTATACTTAAAACTATACCCGTTGCACAAGAAGTGGCTATCATGGCTCGTTGGTCTAGTGGATAACGCCCTGGAGTTTGAAGCGATCGGTCCTGAGTCCAAATCCCGGTGCGAACAACATCATTCACTGGGAATCAGGTACATCCAGCTGACGAGTCCGAAACAGGACGAAATGCACATCCTGGATTCCACTGCTAGCCACGATCCATCCTTAACACAATTAGAACGCAGGCAATATCGAGGCATCCACACAGGAGCCCTTATGGCAATTGAGACTGATCAATTCGGTCCAATCAACGACGGTATCATGTAAAAAAATAATTATACTATATTCATATGGTTAGTCAAAGATTGAATGTACTCACAGAATGAGCTGAAAATAATTACTAAGATGATTTCTGGTGTTAAAATAAATGGTAAAAATAAGTTAATTCACAGAAGTATGATTCAAAGCAAATAGGTATATGCCTCAATGAATTATAAAACACTTTTCCTATACGAATTCTGATTCAGAATTCTATCAATTTTTCCTGAAAGAAAAGCATGGAGAAGGGTTAACTTATTCTGTGATTCCTACTGGAATAGGAATTTTCATTAAACTATGTTAGGATTTCAGACTTGTTAACTATGCATTTTACAAAAGATAAGTGCATGAAAGCACTTACATTCCTTTCATCATTTTAATATCAATAGTAAAGGGCACATGTTTAATCTTGATTTCACACTGTTTACAAGTGATTCAATAAATTTTATACAGAACATAAGTTTTCATAGTATGTCAAGGAAAAACAGGCAACTAACACTTGTTGATATAGTATTTTGAGTATTATTGTTTTTGGTTAGAAAGTATTCAGTATCCTGTGCAAACAAAGCATATAAACTGATTGAATTACCTATAAAGTCTGTATTTATTCATCAAAGGTATATCAGTTATAAACACTGTTGCCTGACGATTATAATTAACATGGACTCATTGTGTGAATGATATTATGTGTGAAAAAATAATATCCCATCTTTCCTCATGCGCTTGAGGTTTAAAGCAGCATTCATCATAGGCTGATATCATTTGGAGAACCACTGAACAATCTTTTCATACTAATGTGGGACTCATCAACAATGCGAACCAACAACCCGGCTAAGGATCAAACTCAATATCTTCAGGTGTCCCGGAGATCTTGTCTGCCATTCAACCACAGGGTCAGAGTTCGGTGATCCACAGATTCCTACTTCTGTCAGTTCACGAAATAGCGCCACTGTCTAATAATATCTAGTCTTTATCCGCTTTGCTTCCGACTGATTGATCCCACAGGTCACAGCTTCTCAGTGGGACTTCGTGATATCCATCTCGAAGTATGTCGCTGATGTGGACTATTTTGAGGTTAATGGGGTTTTTATGTTTAAGATAGTATTCATCACAGACCGACATGAGGTGATGTTTAATTTACTTTTGGTTAATTGCAGCCCTCATAATTTTCAAATATATGTATAATTAATTGCAGTTATTAAAAACTGGATTCGGCTTTAAGTTAGATAAGTAGAAATCGACTTACAATACAAGTCAAGGTGATATAGCGCATGTGAACTTCCTCCAGCTCCAGACACTTCACAGCCATACCAACCAGCTTGTGATAACTTAATATTTGTTAAGTTCAACTGAGAGTCATGATAACCAGTCAGTTGAATCATACTAGCGAACTCTGGTCTTTGCACTATCTGCTGCGATGATATAAAATGATTTGGTAGTGTAGATAAGTTTGGTGAATTATTTGTACTTTGTTCATCTGGACTATTGTTTGACTGATCACCATCATCTTGTTTTAAGAGGCTCGAAAACTGTGTTGATTTGGTTACAAACCATGCATACGTCAAATCTTTCGAAGGATTTCCACCAATGGCTTGACAAAACAATGAAACAGATTGCTTTGCAATCGGTTGATTTGGAAGACTGATTATATGAATGGATGGAGGGTCTGAAAAGATTTACACAAAAAAGAGACTAATCGGCAATGGGTAGCAAAATAATTTTTTCCCACCTCCGTATCATAAGAACAGCAAATAAGAAGTACACAACACAGAAGAACATTTAGAAGTAGTATTCATCATGGAATGACATCAGTTTGGGGACCATTGAAAATCTAGGAGTATGGACAGCTGTTTCGCCCTAGTATGGGACTCCTCAGCAGTACGCACCCACGAACCTTCAGGTTTCACTGCGAACGCGTTAACCATTCAGCCACTGGGTTGGTTTCCAGTCCCGTGCTCCCAGATTTTCAATGGTTCCCCAACTCATGTCAGTCCATGATGAATACTACTTCTAAATTAGGAAAATCCCCACTCATCTCAAAAAGAGGAACATTGTTTCACGTTTTGAAAGGCATTCAGTTTGCTACGATAGTGTTTGTCGCAGAATTAAGTGACCTGCTTTCTATCACATACGGATAAACAAATCCTTTCCAATTCGAAATGCTCATTTTCAATTTGGGAAGATTCCGGATGTCGTTTCTGAAGATGAGTTGTATGACGAAAAGAGGCATCTATGAAACATTCTTACTAACATTGGTTGCTGTGTTGATCTCGATTCATGGTAGAGATCATGTTTAAAAGGATTTTAAAGGGATCTGTTCATCGAATTAAAGCTATATAACTAATAACTCGCAAACAAGGAAACCAAGATATAACATAGGTGTTTTATGAAATCAACCGTTGAAGAAGGAAGGAGGTATTGATTTTATGAGCTTACTTGAGCAAATAACAGTAACCTAGAAATGGATCTGAAACTAAATGGTCAACTCTGAACAGTTGCTGATCATTTTAGTGATTTATGATAACCTGTTGCAATGACATTTAGTGAGATAAATTTAAAGGCGAGCAGGTTGACCAAAGGACTAATCTGTACCCTGGTCAACCAGTGTTGAGTAGGTAATATTATATTGTCTTATACTGACTACTGATGATCTTCTATGGATCATGTTTGCAATGTGATCACAAATCTAGGTAACTCGATACAAATGAGCACCTTTGTATTTCAGAACAGTTAGTAGCAGTTAGCAAGAAGTATTGAATTTGTGCTATGTACTTGTTTGAAGGAATAGATACCGTTTCTTTGAAATGCTAAACACGATTTAGTGATTAGTATCCACAAGCATGAAGCCAAAGTCATGTATAATTTTCTGTCTACAACATGTTGTATATTGTCATCAAATAATATTATATTTTCGGTAGGTAAAAACGAAATCTACATTTTGTGTTAGATGTTCAGGGTCAGTTGGTAGAAAAATCTGGTTTTAGGTTTCGTATTTGCTAGTACTGATCAAAAAAACCTGTCTCTAGCCATTAAGAGAATGGTACTCGCTCAACTATTCAAACCTGTAACGCTCAGCGATGCACTCACAGACGTTATCCTTATATTTATTAGAACTGAGAAATTTACTTGTGATGTACTTCACAATTAGTGTTACATTCTCAAATTGTTTTCTTCTGGCAATGTTATGCTAAAAGCTGAATAAATATTCGTTTCTTCACAAGATTAGTGAAAGGATGGTTTTCGCAAAGATGAAAATACGAATTTCATAAAGATTGTATTGTATACATTTTCTTGGTCAGATATCTTCAACACTGTTGAAGTAAATATGTTACATCAAATGAAAATTTATCTTTTTGAGTGAAAACTTGAATTCCATGAATTATTTTCTACTATGAGTAGGGGAACATGTTCCAAAATGGCTACGAAAGCAGCTGGATTCACATACATTGATAAGCGCAGATGGTAGACAACCATCATCCGCGTCCATTGCGAAACATATCATTGATAAGAGGTCACAGGATTGATATTAAAACAGCCTTTACAATTTTGTATAGAAACTATCAGAGGCGTATACTTAAGTTTGTTTAGGTGCTAACCATAAATAAATGTGACCCGCGATTGTGTGTGCAAAAACAGTTTATCCTTACATTAAGCCTACCTTGATAATGCTTACTTTATCATATTATCAAGATAGTCTTCAACTTTTATCTTTTTTCCCTCTTATTATCTTTCTTATTATTGAATTCCTTTATGTTATATTTGTCCTTCCCCTACTTCCAGTTTTCATATATAATGCTTTAACAAATAGATGGTGTGGTCAGATTGTTCGAAATGTATAGTGCTAATACATCACTTATTGTCCAGATAATCTATGCCTTCTAATTACACTATCCAAATTCATAAAAAGGACTAATTGTTTTAAATACTATCTACTTTCTGATTATTAAGTCATTTTCAAATCTTTCCACTTTATGTCATACATTGGAAAAAAGTACAAGCATGTTTTTGTTTTGTTGTTATCTCAAGTTGTTATTCATCGTAGACTGACACCAGTTGGAGGAACAAAGGAAACCTGGGAGCACTGTACAGCTGTTTCGTCCTAGTATGGGACTCCTCAGCAGTGCTCACCCACGACCCTGCCAGGAATTGAACCCGCGACCTTCAGGTTCCGTGGCTAACGCGTTGCCATTGAGCCACTGGGTCAGAATGCAGTGCTCCATACTTCCAACTTCTGTTAGCTCACGATATCAATAAGATCTCAAGGGGTTCATTCAGTCTCTAATTAAATTTTTGATTAAGTTTTAATTTAAGCATATCCACTCTGTTAAATGATATGTTGATCACATTTTACAAGTAAATAAACATGTCAGAAAATATATTAGTTATGGGTCGTGGCTAGCATTGGGAACCAGGACAGGCGTTTGGGACTCGTCAACTAGATGTACCTGCCTCCCAGTGAGTGATATTGTTCCCACCAAAATTGAACTAAACGTATATCCTGGATTCCACTAATAGCCGCCATCCATAGTTAGTATTAAACTTTGGAATACAGGCAGTATCGAGACATCTGCGTAGGAGCCCGTATGTCCATAGTGGTCAGTCAGTCCGATTCAATCATCGATGAAAATTCAGAGATCATGATATCAAAACTAGAATATGTATTACTAAAATAATGAAAATGTTTTAGCTGGTAGTTCCAGATTAGAGATTTCAATGAGTAGTGGAGCTATCTTAGTGACACAAGAAGAAATTTGGACAGTTAATTAACAGTTAACTGATATTGATTTGAATGAATAGAATACTAAGCTTCAGCTATGCATATCCTATCTTCTTTAGTACAATAACATGAATGTATCATTGTACTGGCCTATTGAAGAAGCATCCTAGAAGATCTGGATTTCGCCGATGACTAGTGTCTAATGTCTTGTGGCATAAACTTGAAGATCTACAGGCAAAAACTAACAAGTTGGCAGAAGAGGCAGCGAAGACGGGACTTCAAGTGAATATAGAGAAGACAGAGGTGATGAAGATATGAAACCAACAGCAACAAAAACAAACTCCAATCACCATCAACGGGAGAAATTTGAAGGAAGTAGACTCCTTCACCTATCTAGGAAGCACTGTTTCAAATACAGGCCGTGGTGGCACAGACGAGGATGTCAAAGTCAGAATCGGAAAAACAGAGAGACAGGCCTTCATTAACCTGAAACCAGTGTAGAGATCTACTGCACTGCACTCAGCATGTGGAACAAGATCCGGATTTTCAACACCAATGTCAGTCAAGTCATTGCTTCTGTATGGTTCAGAGACTTGGCGCGTCACGAAAGGGATTTCCAATAAACTACAGACATTCATCAACAACTGCCCAAGCTGGCTCGCTACTGAAGATCAGATGAATTGCCAGAAAGAATAAGCAACAATGGAACTCTGACTGGCAACGAACCAACCAATAACCTATCACCCAACAAATATGCATTGGAAGGAATTGGAGATGGATTGGGCATACACTGAGAAGACCGACTGGGGACTTCACGCGTCAGGCCAGGCACTCTAGTGGAACCTGCATGGGAAACGGCGAGTTGGGCGTTTGAGGTGAGGGTGACATGGAGGAGATAGTGTGAGGAGGAAATGAGAGGTTGTGGGCTGTCGTGGAGCCAAGTTGGAAAGATTTCAGAGAACAGAGTTCACTGGGGACGTGCTAGTGAAGCCGTATGTTCCATTAGGAACCCAAAGGACTAATAATAATAAATAAAATTTAAGAAGCATGAAGATGCATATAGTTCTTTAAGTCAACAGTTGTCAGATGATTTTTACTACTTTAGAGCAATTGTCATTGAAAATGTTTTTCATGAGTGAAGCTGATAGTATTGTACTTTTCAGCAGCTTATTCTCTATCGACTTAGGTTGAGATGACTTTAACAGATTCCTTTTAGAATGAAATAAATTTTGTCCAACTGATCAAATAGGTCAAAAACAATTTTGAAATCTAAATGATGATAACAAGTCAATGATGGAAATACAATCAACACAACTGTATTATCTTTGATGAAGGAATTTCTCGGCAGAGATTAACCTATAGATTCTAAATATTAAAAATAGGAGTTACTTTTGAAAAACTCACATAGAATTTGTAGTCTGTGTTCACTTAAAACAGGTTTGTTCATGCCTGTATGGTTTACAAGACACTGATAAATTGTATTCTGATGAGATCTGTAGGTCTTGGTAATTATCAGAGTGCTGGAGACCTTAGTCCCACCAAAATCACCTTGTTTCTATGAGATTAAAACGAAATGAAAACAATTTTTTTAAACTATTACTAATGTTAAGGAAATATGAATCAATTAAATGTTATCCCATAGTTTATTGCTATTGAATATCATAATGGCACAGTAAGATTGCTGCGGTTACATGGTTTACCAGAAAAACCTTATCTGGGAATTTCGTCCATATACCCGAATGAACCTTTTATATGCAGAGACCTTAGTTTCATTCCTGTTATCTTCAAAACTTGAAGGACATTTATCAGTTACTACTTGCAACGACTTCTACGTCAAACAAATAATAAACAGTGTACAGACCGTTGGGACGACATACGTAGCACGTGTCTGAACAACCAAAGCCAGTGCTTTAAGATGACAACATTCAGTGAAAGTGAATCTCCGTAGTGACCAAAGACAAACCGTCTCTTCTCAGAATTACTCACATGATGTTATTAGTGAATGCAGGCAATCCTGCGGAGGAAACGATTATCGAGCATGTTGAGTCGTTGGAAATCCTCAAGTTGGATAAGCAAGGCTTCACTGGTGTCAATCAGAACTGACATCATAGACCCATTGTATGCTTAGCCTTTGACAGCAAACATAATATCATTACGATACCTAGATTAGTAACGGGTTTACCTCCCCATCCTCTCCACCAGAGCCGTCCTCAGAACATAAGCCATAGTAAAGTGAGTGAAAAGTGGCGGAATCCGGCAGCCCTTTTACGGTAGCTGTTGGTTTGAAACAATGAAGATATGTGGATGTATGCCCTTACTCTAAATATGGTGTTAACATAAGTCACAGGTGAACACATTCCTAACTGACAGCTGCAGAGTACACGCTTTTCAAAAGGATATAAAGGCAGTCATAATACAAAGAAACGAAACATTCTTTGGTTTGCAATATGTATGACGGTGTTTAAACATATGATGGGGAATCAACACGCGATCAATGGATCAGTGACCTCAGCGAGACCCAACCTACTCTTCATGGATCAGTTTTCCGTGCATTTTGCAGAGCACACAGGGTAAGAAAACAACTATTACTTTAAACGCTATTGGTAGCAAACTAATACGCCCAAGATTATCACTTATAGTACACAAATCCCTTGTAAAAATGGGTACACCAACCTCACTTAGCCTGTCAAACCCTTCAAAGCAATATACTCAGCTTTCTATCTACAGTTTCATCTCTATTTATAGAAAAGCCGTCATTGGTTGTCTTGGCTGGCTGCCTTACACAGCTTTGGAAATTGAAGTTCCTGATAAGTTGGTATTAACTGACCTTGTTAAATAAGACAATGAAGTTCATGCTGTTGGAGCATTAGGCCAGCTGAACTCCAAGCTGAAGTATTCCATCTAGCTTCCAAGGGAACTATGAAGGCTGACTAACACCGTATAATCTACTTCATAGACCTTCTTAGTGACACCGAGCTTATTGCTGCCAGTGACTCAGATAGGCTAGAATAGCTTTCTAATGTTGCATCCCTCTCACTTGCAGGTTCTGACTGCCTGGCGTTGTATTCCTTGTCCAGACGCCATTTTCTCCATCGCGTAAAGGACTTAAATACATGATTGCACTCTTTTCTTACCAGAATACACTGATGAGTGTCAAGAAGTTGCAAGGAGCTAGCAGAAACCCAATGTTTATCAGTTCAATTTTCTTCAAGAACACAAGCAACTTCAAGCACTTTTTCAAGGCATCTTCTAAGTGAAACTTATTTCAATCTATGTTTTCTTCAAGTCCAATGGCTATTATTTAAATTAGCTCACTTTAGTATTTAGTTGCAATACTAGGTGCAACTAGTTTGCTTACGTTGACCCGTTTTGGACAGAATTTTAATGACCGTCTGAAAGTGAGATAAACTTAGTGCACAATAAAGCGTTATCCAAGTTGCAGTCGTGAATACGCCCACGCAATCCATAGCTGATTGCAGTGTGGTCTTCTTGAGTGTAGAAGAAAGGACACCGAAGATGGCTATGTTGGAAGTTGCTCCTGTTTGGAAATGGGTCTTGATCAATGCAAAGCTGCAGAAGACGTTCCTATTAACTGATTTGCAGCCGGGTTAACACTGTTGGCCCCTGGACGACCCTTGTCTGGGCTTGGAAACTCAACCTGTGCATTCAAGTCACCAGCTAGCACTGTGATATCTGGCGACCACTGTTGCTGGTGAAGGCTACTCAAATGTTGGCAAAACTTTTCTTTAGCTAAATACAGGTTGGAGTCATCTAGGGAATATCAAGATACATTGTTTTCACTGTTGGTTAATTGTCACTCCCAAACGAAGCTTCAAGCTTAACGCACGACGAATTTATTGTTCTTCCGAGCGAGTTACAGCCTCTTTTGTTATCTTTGATTTACAGTGCTAAATACTTTAATAATTCAAATTATTTCCTCTAGGTTGTCCCACTAGAACTTATTTCTTCAACGAAATGCTCTAAAATTTAGTGCTATTACTTTTGAGTTAAACATAGAAAAATCAGTAAATATTTCTTACTGATGTTGTTACTTGTATTATTACATCTTTGAGCGGACCGAATTGATCGGTCTCTATTGGCATATGGGCTCCTGCTCAGATTCCTCGATATTGCCTGTGTTTCAACTATATATTAGTGATGGATAGTGGCTAGCAGTGAATATAATTGAAACAGGTGATATCGAGACACCCACGTAAGAGCCCATATCCCAATAGAGACCGATCAATTCAGTCTACTCAACGACAGAGCAATGCCAGCGATAACATGAAAACTATAGCCGTCACATAAGAGGTGGTTATCGTGAGTCGGTGGTCTAGTGGAAAACGCTCTGACGTTTGAAGTGATCCGTCCATAGTTGCAGTCCTAGTGGGAGCTACATCGTTCATTGGGGGACAGGTACATCCATCTCACGAGTCCTCAGTAGGAAGAGACGTGGGTTCTGGATTTCACTGCTAGCCACCGTTCATCATCAAATATTTCTCATTAATGCGAAAGGGTTGCAGCTTGGCAAAGCTAACTGTCCTTTGGTAAGGAATTCATATTTCTGAATGGTTTACTTGAACCCATCTGGTTAACCGGAAACCAAAAATAAAGGAAGTACGGGACAGATTGGCTTTGAATTATATGTAGTAAAAAGGCGGTGTCCGTTAACGGCTCTGGAGTATCACCAATCCACAGAATTTTAAAAATGCAAACCAAGAAGTGCATTGACTGAGTCATAAAATTTTCATTAACAAACTTAACGGTTCTAAAACCGATCCTGTCTTGGGCTGTTGGTATATATATATATATATATATATATATATATATATATATATATATATATATATATATATATATATATATATATATATATATATATGTCTGCAGACGTCACAGATGAGGACGTCAAAGCCAGGATCGGAAAGACAGCAATAAAACAACCAAGAACCCATTGCCCAACAAATGTGCAGAAGAAAGTGGAGATGGAGTGGATTGGGGATACACTGAGAAGACCAATCGGGGACATCATACGCCAGGTCCCCGAGTGGAAGCCAGATGGGAAATAGCCAATTGGGCATCCGAGGCGAAGGTGACATGGAGGAGATGGTGTGAGGAAGAAATAAGAAGTTGTCGACAGTCGTGGAGTCAGGTTTTGAAGACTGCAGAGGAGAGAATACAATAGAGACGTGCTACTGAAGCCCTATGTTCCACTAGGAACCTAAAGGAATAATAATGTTATATATAGTTGAATAGTGTTTTGTCTCACCAAGACACCATTAGCAAATTGGGTTGTGCAGAAGAATAAAGGAATTTGCATGTGCAGAACAACTGTTGTTTAACCAGTATGGAGAAAGAAAGTTCTTCATTACACTAGTATCTAAGCTAGATGAATGTTTCAGGTAAATAATTATCCAATACCACGTTATGAAACTAATAGTTAGACGAAATAAAACAGTAATATACACAAGCAATTCATTAACACCATAAATTTTGTTGTTAACTGAATCTTGCTGTGTTCACTAATGAGCATAATAAGAATAGTGGTACTAGTTATTGACGTTGTCAAGTTTCATTTAATATGAACTTCGATGCTACTTTTCAATGTTTCCTGTGTATATCGTTCACCCCAAAGAATTGTTTTAGTTATCTTTTTATGTTACTTGTAAGTAGTATTCAATTGAAAGAGATATTTTCGACATAAAAATAACAAAAACATTGAAGGTAACTTACAGTTTCTAATTGGGCGAGATCGGTTAATTCATTTGAAAATAAATTTGTACGTTGAAAAAATTCTTCAATTTTTTTATTCTTCTCTTGTATTTTATCTGGTGGGATTTCAAGCCAACGTATCACAGCAGGGGGATGACAAGAACTTGTAGCACATGTCAATTCTAAACGACTAGCTTCTGGAACACCATTTATTGGCTGGGCTGTTAATCTTATATTATTTGGAGAAACTGTGCATTTAGGAAAAAATATATGCAAAAATGCGTTTATATCTGATCTATACCAATCTGTGCGTAGGGTGGTTCATTTTTATAGAATTAAGCTTAGGATTTCTATATTTAGACATCCATCGATAGGATGGGTTTGCAACTTTTACTGAACCATTGACAGTTTATGTATTTCGTGACACACTTTTAGCACCAGATTTAGAGATGAGTAACTTTCTATTGGAATGACGTTTGATCATTAGTCTATCATTAGTTGATAGACTTCATCTAGAGAAAAGGGTCAATACCAAGGACTGAAAATAACAGTGACTGATAAATGAGATGATACCATTAGGAGGAGTAGTGTGTGCTGTGTAAAACTAAGACATTGTTTTCACGAACCCTGATTGCTTATTGATTTTAGTAGTGCTGCAAACAAATGCTGGTCGTAAATGTTTCATAGAAAACTTCCTGATTCCAAGTTACCTAATTTCTTCCTTCTTCAAACAGAAGTGAGCAGTGAATACTCGGAACTTTTTTCAAAAGGCATGAGTGCCGATACCCTAATATGAAAACATTCTGAAAAAACCGCCACATTTTCATCTAGCCTTCTCTCTGAAGATATCCTGAAACTAAACAAATTATGAATTAATTGTTCTTACTTATATGGATTTTTTGTCATAGTTTTTTATTTGGTCTAGCCGCATTCGATACATTTGGAATGAAATGCTGAATAAAGGTGTAATCATTGACGTGTTGAACAACGAGTAGGAAAAACGACTAGATTCTCACCCAGTGGCTCAACAGTAACTTGGTGGCCACATAGCCTGAAGGCCCTGGATCCGATCCCTGGCAGCGTCATGGGTGCGCACTGCTGAAGTAATTAAAATGCCTAGAAAGTCACTTCAATTAGACGGTAACGAAACTGGTCTAATAGAAAACCTTACATCTCTGTGTATCTACAACGTTTGGGTCAGTTTTAGATTTTTATATATGTCAGTCAGTTCCTTCACCTCTGTCAGCCCTAGTTAGTAAACTATGATTTCATTTTCTTTTGTTGTTATCTTTGAGCTACAATGTTCAATCTATCGACTGCTTCTGACTATCCAAAGATTTCAAGACTAGCTCACATGGCACTGCATAGTTCACGGTTTCAGTGCGTCGTATGTCAAGATTTGTGCGCACAAGTTACGTCATCACTTAAATTCTTCTGTGGCTTACGGACCTGGATGGTTGAATGCGAACATGGAAGAATTCAGAAAAGTTTTGATAGTGACTGATATTATGTACTCAAGCATTCAGTGACTGTCACCTGGGTGATACAGAATAGACATCTAAAACCCTGAAAATCAGTTGGGTGATATCAATTCACTTAACTCATTTTCAAGTTATAAATTTGCACACACACATATATGCGTATAAATGGTATTTAGGCTGTAGTCTGTAACAACTTGTAATGATGAAAATATTAAAAGTCGTGCTTAAAATAATGGTAAAGTTTAGTATAAAAAAAGTTGAATGGTATGACAGGAGAGCTACGTACAATTTTTAACCGAGTGTAGAATGTGTATGAGATATGGGGGGTTGTAAAAGCACCAGAACCATTTGAGTGAGATGAAGCACGTTTATAAGATACGCTTGTCAAAATTAATTTACTCTAGCCTATTTAAGAAATCAGTTGAGCGGCACCGGAAACTGTAAGATGTGAAAGTTCAAAAGAATATGTACAACCGTTGAGAATAACAATGGAAATCCATACTTCAGACCAAATGAAGTTCAGACATACACTATATGTATGAAAAGACTAATTTTCAATGCAAGAAATGGTAGTGTTTTCCTGGCTTTGAAGAGAAGAGTAGAGAATAAACGTTTGTAGGAGGATGCAAACGAAAAGTGTAGCTCCAAAACCATGGTAAACATTTCAAAAAAGACAACATACTGGGACAGATTTGAAATGTATGGTTGAAAAGAAGCATATGCAGGTGGCCTTTTTCGAAATATTGGCCTGGAAACTGGTTTCTACTTACCTAACTGTTTTAAGTAAGAATAAGGCAGTTAAATTAACTGATATCCACCGAAATAAGATATTTTTCACCATCAGGTTCGTGATTTCTGGCTTTCTTTGTCTACATGTAAGTATGGGTTAACTATCTCTTTATCCTCAAATAAAATATATTTTTTAAAGGTAACTATTTAGAAAGTATTTGAAAGAACGGTAAGCTCGTCCTGAAACGGTGCAACTGCAGATAAGAGAATTATTATTATTATTATTAGTCCCTTGGGTTCCTAGTGGAACATAGAGCTTCAGTAGCACGTCTCCAGTGAACTCTGTTCTCTGAGATCTTTTGAACCTGGTTCCACGACAGCCCACAACCTCTCATTTCCTCCTCGCACGACCTCCTCCATGTCACCCTCGGACGTCCAACTCATCGCTTCCCATGGGGATTCCACTCGAGGGCCTGACGTGTGATGCCCTCAGTCGGCCTTCTCAGTGCATGGCCAATCCATCTCCACTTCCTCCTGCATATTTGTTAGGTGATAGGTTCTTGGTTGGTTCCTCGTCAACCAGAGTTCCTTGTTGCTTATTCTTTCTGGCAATTCATCTGATCTTCAGTAACCAGCCAGCTTGGGCAGTTGTTGATGAATGTCTGTAGTTTATTGGAAATACCTTTCGTAACGCGCCAAGTCTCTGAGCCATACAAGAGCACTGACTTGACGTTGGTGTTGAAAATCCGGATGTTGTTCACGCTTTGTGCTGTCTGAGTGCAGTGCAGTGCAGTGCAGTAGATCTCCACACTGGTTTCAGGTTAATGAAGGCCTGTGTTGCTGTCTTTCCGATCCTGACTGGCTATGACATCCTCGTCTATGGCATCATGACCTGTAGTTGAAACGATGCTGCCTAGGTAGGTGGGTGGGTGAAAGAGGTGATTAGTGTTTGTTGTTGTTAGTGGTGGCGTTGATTGAGTATCTTCATCACCTGTGTCTTCTCTATATTCACTTGAAGTCCCATCTTCGCTGCCCTGCTTCACCTCTTCTGTCAACTTGTTAGTTTTCTCGTGTAGATCTTGAAGTTTGTGTGACATTAGACACAAGTGATTGTTGGCGAAATCCAAATGTTCTAGGTTCTTTTCATCGGTCCAGCTAGTGTATCCCCCTCTTCTCACTCCTCACTGCTGTCTGTTGCATGACCCAGTCCACCACAATCAGGAAGATGATCGGTGATAGTAGACAGCCTTGTTTTACTCCTGTCTTCACTTCGAAAGCATTACTGAGCTTCCCAGTAAGATACTTGATAGTAGGTATTTATCCTCATATTTGCAAGATTACTCATTTCAGTGTAAGTCAGCTTTGACAAGACTGTATCATTTATATTTCCATTCCATACATATCTTGTTTTATGACACTCAGAAGCCGGATTGGGTAATATGCAAGCGACGATATAATATAATTCATTAAAAGGTCTTTGAGAACTTGTTAGTAGGGCCAGTAAGTCAATTTAAAGTTGAAATAGTCTGAAGAAGGATTTAGTTTGAATTTATGGTAAATTGTTGTTACACAGTGTATACGACGTCTAACTTATTTCTTTTGTGTTTTTTGTCAACTGAATGTTCTGCAGACATTTATTTAGCTACGAACGAGTTCGTTTCATCATAAACTTACTCATTATTCATATAGAGTTTGATTTTTGACTTTATAATCTAGCGAACTGAAAATTTTGCATTTAACATTTTCATTACAAGACTTACACATAACTTCCAAAAAGCCTTCTGATCGCAGCATAGTTTTTGAATCATTGAATACAACTGAACACTCAAAACGTCTTCCGTTCAATGCTCTTGTGGCAAGGATAGTAAGATTTGAACGTGTAACCACAGCTCCATTAGTTTGTGTGATAAAGTCAACATCCACAGACATCTTTAAACTTTCGAGTGAAATAACTGCACCCGCAGAATCAAGCTGTTGCCATCGTAATATGGCAGCTGGATTGCTTCCCAAACTATCTGTTTGACAGCTAAATGTTTTCTGAGTTGATTCAGGTATTAAACCTTCAGGATAGGATTGTACATACACTGCTCGTGGTGGAACTAAAACAAAGTAAAAACGGTAAATCGTAACTGAGTTAGTCAGATTACTTCTTAGTAGTATGTGATTACAAGATCCTTCTACCAAAAACTTATTCGGCAACAAATCATGAAGACCATCTATGGCATTATAATATATCCTGACTCTAGCAGCAAATATATTAAAAACGGAGCTACACAAAGATTCAGATATCTAAATGCAATATGTCTGGCATGTGATAAGTGTATCGTAATTCAATTGTTTTCACAACTTCAGAGATAACAGTTAAAGTGCCAGTTTTATTGTTTTCAAGGATGTCAGCTATTTTTCAGTAAGAAGTCGGAGACACCAGGACCTTTCAACCATAATTTCGGTAAATTTTCATGATAGTGTCGTAGCTTTTAACATTATAACATCATAAATACGGTTTTTGACTATGCATCATAACTTTTAACTTTCAGTATTACACATTGAAGCAAAGCAAACATTCAGACAGATGGAGCTGAGGCTTGCTGGACTAGGTAGTTAACTGTCGACCAATGATTTGTGAGTTTCAGTGCAGCCCCAACTACTGAAGTTTAGATGGCTCAGTAGTATCATTAGTTACAACACAACAAATGTTGCTCATTGCTTAGTGTATTGAAATGTGCGTGGTTGTTTAGTGTTCAATCAGACAGATGAACGACAAAAAGTTAACAGTAACTACTTCTTGTCAGTTTGATGTATTGTATGATATTTTGAAGTAACTGAAAATGAGGGGTGAATTATTCGATAAAATTTAGTTTACATTGAACACTGAATTTGTATTGTTTAAATTAAGACAATCACAGAGCTCAGCAGGACACAGACAGATAAAACAAATAAATGTGCATAAAACAGCAAATAATTTTTAAAGAAACTTGTTTAAACTTTTGTATCTTATTTACTACAGAAAGGATGTACATTTTCAGATTTCTTTTTTTACATCTGTTTCATATCGATCATTATATACGGATAGTGAAGTATTTGGCTATATTAAGGTGCAATACTTCTCTTACATTCAGGAATATATATGTTTATTGTAGGGTAGTAAAACTCAAAGTGTTTTATTTGGATGTTAGGTGTTATTATCAAAGTTCAAGCTTATTGTATATCATAAAGTATTTGTTTATTTTAGAGATTAATATCTACGCTAACTGGCGCCATAAACCAGTAAACATATATCCCATATTTGATTACATGTTCAATTTCATAAAAACGTAGAGTAGGTCAAGTTTGCTTTATTACCTAAAGATGAAGGGAAGATATGGAATAGAGTATTTTCGTTTATAAACTTTTTAATACACTTTTCTTTAATTTCATAATAATGTTGAACTAATAGCTTATTTTCATTTTAGATAACACGAAAGTATCAGTTATACAACTATTGGAATTGATGAAGTGATCACATAAACAACTTTTAAGAAAGGATGATCATTTACAACCAACTAAACAGTTTTACTGAAAAGATTTTAGTTGATTTTTTATTTTATTAAAGAATAGATATTACTGAAATGTAATAAACAAACAAAGCAACTGAAAGGAGAAAGAGAAACATAGGGAAAAGGAAAAGAGAAAAGTCGGCACAAGTTTTGGAATACAATTTTCATTACTTTGTATTCAATGAATTTTTATTTTGGTGTAAAACAAAACAAACAAATTAAGCAAGTAGATTGCTTATTGTGTAGTCATTAGGTATTTATGTTGGATTAGAAATGCACAATAAGTATATTAAAGGTGTTAATGTCTAATAGAAGAATACGTTACTGAATCAGTAGTTTCATTAACGCTTTTGGAAATAAAGTTCAGTTCAGTACAACATACACTGTTTTCATTTGTAAATTACTCCGAAGTTTTCATCTTCATTGATGTTTCTATGTAGATTTGTTTATTGGATATTTCACACAATGAAACAGTATTATTTACTGGATAACTGTCACTGTTTATATGTATTCGTTAGCCTTTTCAAGGTATTTCAGGTTGATATTCATCATGGACTGACATCAGTTGAAGAAACATTAGAAACCTGGGAGCACTGGGCAGCTGTTTCATCCTAGCACGGGACTGCTCACAAGTGAATACCCATCACTGCACCAGGGCTCGAACCCAGGACCCTTAAATTCCATGGGTTGCACGTCACCATTAGACCACTTGATCAGCATCCATTGGTCCATATTTCCTACTTCTGTCAGTTCACGACATCGTATAACTCCCATCCAATGCCGTCGTTAAATAGCTGTCCTCACGTTCTACTTAGTTGACCCAACCAGTCACGACTTCTCATTGGAACCTCGGGAGTCAACTCAATAAGCTAATCGCCAATAAGCACTCGATTTGAAGAAATTCAACTCTTCCGGTTTGAACTACTTTATGGCTACACCAAAGGTGTTTTTTTTCTTTAAAGCACTCGTTTCTGTGAAGCTTGAAGCCTATATTGACAGAATGATATCCGCATGTTTACCAGTCTTTAATAGCATATTGTTATTAATGACTGAAAACTTCACCGGTGTGTCAAACTGTTTAATTTGCACTTTATAAAGCTTTCTAAAAGCAGCTTATTTCTTCCTTTTGAAATTTTTTACTATAACTTTGTAACCCGTCTTCTTGATTGTTTGTATAAGTTTGCATGTTTATCCATTCAATTTCTCCAGGTGAATCTTGTACAGTTTGTTGGCAATTTTGTAAATCTGTTCATTTACATGGTTTGCTTATGCATTCTATCGTTGTAGAATAGGAGCATGAAGTTGTAAATAACTAGTAGCTATTTGATTGTTGAGAAAACGAATCTAACTTTAGTCTGTGGAAGTAATATAAGATCACTGATTAGTCTTCGAACAGAAAGATCCGAAGATTCATTAAGTTAGGCATAAAACTTGGGCCCAGTTGCATTGTCTAGATGTTAATTTATTTCACTGTGTAAAATATCCAACAAATAAATTCATATGGAATTGTAAACTACTACAGAGTCTTAGTTCTATTCTTACATTCACTGATGTTTGTAGTCTCAGCTAATAACATACGACAGAATATATCATTCATACCTATAAGGTTCTTTTAATTCTTTTGATGGTGTAAATATTGTTGCGATAACATTGGTTCCAGTCAGTTGTTTCTGGTCATTTTGCACAAACATTTCTCTTGTAGTGACTAGCTGCCTACTTAATGAGATAACTAAATCTTCGAAAAGCAATACATATCATAATAGGAAGAAAATTACATAAATTATACTTTTAAAAAATCTTCTTATTATGGCTGATTGAAAATGTCTCATTTTCGTTAATTTCACCGAAAGAGTACAGGCTTGAACTGTGAGTTTGTTTATAGTGTATCGTTAAGCTAAAATTACGATAACTTAAGTTTAAGCGGATGATTTTTACGTTTATTACAGACAATGAATAAGATTAAGGCATAAATGTAAAATTGAATGTAAAACTAGTAAGAATAAGGTCTGTCATCAAAAGAAATCGTAAGAAATAAATTGCCTATTTGATCAAACAAGGCAAACAGAAAGTCTTACGTCTTCATTCTTCTAGAAACATGAGTTATTTTTGTATGATGCTAAAGTAGAAGACTCTGGAAACAAATAAGTTACAGAAATGAAGTAAGTAAATTAATCAACCATAATTAGTAGCTTTCATCATGTTCTACTTTTTGCTCAGATTTACAGATGCCAGCCAATTTGTATCCATAGTCTTGTAATAAAGACTGTCAAAAAACGTATGGCTTAGAAAACATCTTTGTCTGCAGTTCAAGATTGATACAGCTTTATAACTCAGAAGGTACATACCCTTTACTAAGTTGCCTTTTTTTACTGTCGATGTGTAGCATTATCGAGAACCAAAATTTAAGTATTTCTGTCACTCGCCTGAGACAACTTAACACTAACTGTGGTGTGATGATGCTTCAATTACCATGTCACTTATACTTCGATAATTTTATTATTCTCATTGCAACATCAAGAACAAGATATTCAGCGAAGAAGCTCTTTTCAACGAATTCATTTTCAAGCTATACAATCATATATATATATGATATTTGAAAAGTTATATCCCATGAGGAAAACTAAACACTATATGATGATGATGACAATAATAATAGAGCGGATGATGACATAGGCATTTGTGATTATGATAACAAAGTAGACTACTTAATATATGGAATGGTTCATAAGAAGTATATAACTCAAAAAGGGGTGAAAAAAATGATGAAAGTGGCAAATCAATTAAATGTTATGTAATAGGATTAGACAAGTTGGTCAAGATGGAGCCAGTGTTTTCTAAAAAGATTAAGACAATTAAGTGAAATAACACCGGAAACCTCACTCTTCGACTCTAACTAGTGACGATAAAATAACAGATGTTACCATCTAGTGACTGGCCCGTATAGTTGCCCATTGTATTTACATTTAGTATCAAACTAATTTACAAGTTTTAGCCATAGTTAGTCATGTTAGAGATACATGATGAAGCAAAAAATGAACTTCAGGGTTGGTTATTGGGAGATTGTGAAAGAAACTTTGTTCAACAGATTTCTGGAATACTTCCATGAATAGAAAACAATGAATGTATGCGAACGAAAAGACTGTTTAGACATCTGCAGTAGTTACATTGCGTTTTACTTTCGGAAGATAATTAACTTTTATTTCAATTCTTATACTCAACTTGACAGAGTAGCAATTACATCAAAATATCCTAATTACCAAAGCGTATAGAAGAAAAGCTGACAAATGTTTTGTTATCACCATGCTGCTATTAGCAGGACATATAACTGGAGTTACTAATTTTTAGTTCAAGTGTTTAGTGGAAGATTTTTCTTCATGGTTTTGGATTTTGAATCCCTTAAATTGACTACATACTCTTAAGCCTTGAAAAATGCTTGAAAAAAAGTGAATAATATAATATTTTTACACTCTTGTTGAGTTATCCTATCAAAAATGTCTCAGAGAAGCTCATAATAGACCTACATAACGATAATATACTTATTAATAATCCCATTAAAGTGCTGA